TATACATGTATATAGTTGATATGCAATTGATACGCGTGATGTAAAATTTGCATTAATAATGAAACAATTTAAAGTGTATCAATTAAAACGTTATTTCGAATTAATCTCCTGTTTCGCACAAATCGCAACGAGAGTATTTCAATAGAAATAAATGAAGTAAATTGTACAAAGAAAATCATTCTGATTATAATGTTGGTAAAAGAATTAAATAGACATTACCATGAACAGAATACAGTTCACGCAAACCATTTTCTAATACAATAGAGCCTCCCTTATTCTAATTAATGTTGTCTGGCAAAAGTTTTTGAATAATGATTAATGTAATTTTCGAATAACAACCATATTATATAATTATGTAATTTTTATTTTGTTAATTATGTTAATTATAATTTATTATGTAATTTTCAATTTATTAATTATGCTTTTTAATTATTGTGATACATTTTATAATTGTACTTAATATATTAATTATATATTTTTTAATAGAATTTTATATTATCGAATAGTTAATTTAATAGGTCGTTTTAAGTTTTTTCTGGATATTGAAATGTTCAACTTTTTAGTACAAATAACTACATCTTTGTATTAACATATGAAGGCACATCATTACTTTTGTTTGCAGTTTCAGTTTGTGAAAAAATCGTATCTAAGATATCTTTGTGACTGAAGCAAAATGTTGATTCATTATGAAATTTGACACAATAAACATAATTTTCTATGTTTCCTACATCCATTATATTAATCCAATATATCGTATATTATTAAGTTTCCTTTATAACTATGAAAAACATGTCAAACAATAAAACACATACAGTGACTGGTTCAATTAATTTGACAATCATACCTGCGCAAGTAATCAATACAAGGAAGTTTCTTATGCAAAACTAAGTAAAAAAATTTTAAATAAAATTTCAATGTCTAAGGTGTCATTGTGAAGAAAATAAACTTTTAATATATTTCAGTAAAAATCACTTTGGTACTTAATAAATTTTCAACTCGATTTTCTCAGAAACGTGAAAATCTTTATTCATTATTATATACATATAGGACTACCTCCCGTTTGATTGACCACAAGAAATTATTTTTTAATAGACTAGTCAATGCAACTCGTTCTTCCTTACAATCATTTACTATTTTATTTATTCTACTCTTTACTTATTTCATAGATATATTCTCACATGTGAACTATCGACTGAACATGCATTTATGCAAAATTTATTTGCAAAACGTATGCAATATTCAAAATATTCACAATAAAATTTACATTCTTGAAATTTTTCAATAAATTAGTTCATTTATGTATATGTTTATGCATTTATATATATATTTATATTGTAGGGAACACGACCCAGGCAGCAACATAAATAATATTTCAACGACTTGGACCCGAAACGCAGTACCGTTAGGGCCATACGGTAACTGTCAAAATTCTTTTATGGCATTGACCGAGCAAACTGCAGAAAAACAATTTACTTTCCGATCCTTCGGCCGAAAAGAACACAATGGGAGTCGGGCCGTATATAAGGGCCGACTCCAACACGCCAGACACAGTAAGTTTTCTAAAACCGAAGGTTCACGTAAACGAAATCATTCCGCGTGTTCAGGCCGTGTTCCTACGTCAGCTCTCGCAATACACTCGCAATAAATAATTAGTTAGTGGACGATTGTTTTCTGTGTATATATTTGTATTAGTGCAATAAAAACCTTAAACTGACGGAGTGCAAAAATGAGCACAAGAAGCAATCAAGAAAACAAAGAACCGCATGACGAACACAGCCTCATGGAAGGAGAAATCGAAGAGGTAAGCATGAAAATACCCTCGTTCTGGAAACACAATCCAGAAGTATGGTTCGCGCAAATGGAAGCGCAATTTAGGACGCGAGGGATAACGAGGCAAGAGACCAAATTTGATTACGTAGTCGGAACGATCGACAGGGAAATCGTGAGTGAGGTTATGGATATAATTAGGAATCCACCGGAAGTCGATCCGTATAATCGCCTAAAGGCGGCGATAATTGATCGAATAACGGACTTCGAAAGGAGGAGGACCCAGCAACAGCTGAGCCAGGAGGAATTAGGAGACAAGAAGCCGTCGCAGTTCCTGCGGAGACTCCTACATTTATTGGAAGACGGGGCGAAAACTTTTGATCAGGAACTGTTAAAAAAGCTTTTCCTACAAAAGATGCCACCGTCAATAAAGTCATTCTTGGAGAAGCAAGAAAGCCCACTAGAAGAAATAGCGAACCTGGCCGACATGATTCTGGACACATACGAAACTAGGCCGGCGATTGTTTCTGCGATAACGAATCTTGAAATGGCGCTTATCAATAAAAGGTTGGACAACCTAGAGGAACAGATCGAATGTCTGATGAGATGGAGAGAATCCCGATCGTCAAGAAGAAGAGGAGCCTCACAGTCGGGCCTATGCTTCTGCTGCGCTCGCTTTCAAGGAAGAGCGTACAATGGTTCTTTCCCATACACGTTGTCGGCGAGAAACCATCATGAGCAAACGCGGTCTCACTCGACGATCCCCAAACGGCCCGCATTTTCATAACCGACCGTCTAACGAACATTAAGTATCTGATGGACTACGTTGCAGATCTACGCGTGTACCCCCGCTCGCGTGTAAAAAGACACAGAAGTGAGTACATATTACACGCAGCGAATGGGATACGCATTGCAACGTAGTACACCATCGCGAAGCGGAGTTACAACTTCGCTGAGAATTCGTAATAGCAGATATCGGGGGCTCCGTCATCGGGGTAAACATCGTTTTAATGAGCGATACGAAATATTACAGCACTCATTTACAGCATTCAGATGATTAAATAACGGTTTATGAAAATACATAGCTTAAGAGAAATTGTTGGCATTATTTACTATAAAAATCGATTCAACAAAAGATTCCTAGTTTCTACTGTTCAAAACGAGATTAGTTCAAATATAAATAAAGATCCTTCTCTTTTATTTATAGAGAAATGAGAATTCATAGAAAACGTTAAAGACCATGGAGTTTGAAGGACATAAATTTAAATATTTCATTCAGTATTTTATTTTAAGAATTGTAATATAATTTAGGATGAATTCTAATATTTTTATAAAATTATTCCCCATAATTTTCGTGTATCAAATATGTTGACTAAAAATTTATGTTATTTAAATTATGTAACGAGTCAGCCAATCCTCGAATCGATATCTTCTGTACTGGTAGTAAACAAACAGAAAATCATTAATTTATAGAATAATTTCAATTTTTTTATTTTTGTGTATAATATAAACGGAACTATATATTTAGTATTTACAATTCCGATATTGGTCATAAGTTGTCGGATCGACAACATTTAGATCAGTGGTTCAAAGATGAAATGCAAAAGAAGAATCTTTTTAAGTTCTTTTCTACCAACTAACGTTATATCGTTAGTATAGTTCAATAATTTGCAAAACCTTAACCCATCTCCTTTATTGTTAAGCAAAAAAAAAAAAAAGAAGAAAGATGAAGAAAAAGGAAAAGCTGGCACAAAGAAAAATATGAATAATTAATAAGAATTGCCTTCTATGCTGTTTTCATATATTTTTAATCGAGTTAATTTATTATGCAAGTAATGTGATTGAAATATAATTTTAGAAAGTTTTATAAAAGGAAAAATTAAACAGACTACGAGAGATCGAATCAAGGTGTAATTCATTACCTCAAACGACTAGTAACTTTTGATTAGATGGTTTTTTCCATCCCTTTGAATATGAAAAAATATTAATACAAAATATAAAAATATAAAATACAAAATATAAAAATATAAAATACAAAATATAAAAATATAAAATATAAAAAATAATTTTTTTTAAAAAAGAAAATTAATTTTAATGTGATTTTTATGTGTTCATTTACGAAAAAAGGAATGTCAGAATATACCTCTCTCAAAACCTTTCAGTTTCATGTGAAACATTTTTTGCTATGAATAATTATAGTAACGTAAATCAATGTATCAGAATCAGGTGAGATGCTTTGTATGTATGTGTAGAATGACTATAGAAAGTATTCTTACACACGTTAAAAGTCGATATTTTCAACTCCTTGTAAAGAAAGATAGAATTTACTGGGATAGAGTTTATGCTCCAACAAGGCATCATCCGTCTTTCGAAAAGTCTATGGGCGTTGCCTTTACATCTAGTGCCGAAGACGAGAAGGTTCGACTACAGGGCCCTCAATGCCCGCACCATACCAGACAGGTATTCACCGCCTCATATCGCGGATTTCGCGCATGCGTTGTACGAGAAGAAAATTTTTTCCAAAATAGACTTGGTACGCGCGTATAATCAGATACCGGTCGCACCAAATGACCGAGCAAAAACGGCAATTACGACGCTGTGCGGTTTATTCGAGTTTAATTTTTTGTCCTTCGGTCTGCGGCGCAAACTTTTCGTAAACCGAGTACGCGGGCTAGATGTCGTTTATGCGTGTATTGATGATTTTCTTATTGAATCAACTACTGAAGCCGATCATAAGGAACATCAGAAGCTACTGATCGAGCGTTTGAATCAATACGGCATCATGATCAACCTCGCGAAATGTGTTTTCGGCGTTGTTGAGATCACCTTTTTACATCGTCAATGAGGACGGAATAAAATCTCTCGCGGAAAGCGTTGAAGCCATCCGAGAATCCTCTAAACTTATCGTCATACGGGAATTTAGGAAATTCCTCGGCATGGTAAAGTTTTACAGGCGATTCATTCAGCACGTCGCTAAGGTCATGATACCGCTAAATGATTTATCCGTGAATTAGACCGAAACTGCGGAAAAGTCCTTCGTAGAAGTAAAAGAAGGGCTAGCAAACGCGACGCTGTTGACACATTCAAAGCCTAACGCCCCTGTGAACATAACAGTCGATGCATCTGATTGTGCAATCGGCGCTGCCGAACACAAAGGAGGTGGGATTCGCACCGCGAAGAACAACCCATCGAGCCAGGGAAAGCAATTTTGCAATTTCTAATTTCTCTACGGCAGGGATCTCCCGTGACCATATTCCATGTCCTTCGTTACCTTGCATCTTCTACTGTAGTCACACCGAATTACCAATTCCAAGGCTCGTCATGCTCGACGCTCAATTTTAAAGCTCGATAAATGACTTTATCACAACTTTTTTACGACATCCATAAATCCAAGACATATTCTGAGGGACACATCCTGGGACCGTTAGAAAGTGCAAATACTACGTTCTGAGACCGACCTCGCTCACATCTGGAAGCAACTAACATACCTCCCTAAACCATAGAATCCAGCTATAGCGCAGTGCGCACAGAAGTTTCGGAGTAACCTATCGACGTACGACAGGTCACGGTTCGACTATCAAACTCACTCAAATTTTATCAATCTTTTACTTACGACAATTTATATTCCTCAAGCCAACCTATCTAACTTTAAAACAATTCTATCTTGAATCAGCTAACTTTCGTTGAAAGACAGCAAGCCACCGATCTGCTCAACGCTACTTATACGTCGAGATCAGATCGGCACGCTACAGGTGCAGTTTTACAACAGCAAATAAAAGATACCTGCCAGCCCCTTTCCTTTTACACAAAGAACCTTTCCGCCGCGCAACGAAAATACAGAGCATGAACTGACTGAGAGCTACTGGCTATGTATTGTGCCATAAAACACTTTCACCACTTCATTGAAGGACGGAACTTTACATTATACAGTCAGTCACAAAAGTCTTCGTATAACCCATAAATTTTAATTATTATAACAAATATAGTAATTTAAGCTATTTTTTTTACATAAAATTGTGTATTAATTAAATTTAGACACGTGTTAAGAAATATTGTTTATTAATCTTATTAACAAAAAAACTTAAAAAAAATGTGAAATATAAAGCCACTAAAGTGGCTAGTTACCACTTTTGGTAACTATGTAAAACTAAAAAAAACTGAACTTAATATTGTATTAATAACTTGTAGGCCCTCCTTTTGCATCAATAGCGGCCTGTAATCTTCTCGGCATCAACAAAATTAATTTTTTTTTATAATATCTGGAATAATTTCGTCCCAAGCTTTTCGTAAATTAGTTTTTAAAGATTTTTCATCTGTAATATTATATGTTTTTTGATTCTGTTACTTAACTTTGCCCAAATATGCTCGATGTGGTTAAGATCTGTCGATTGGAATGGTGTAAATAATTTCCGTGGAACATAATACAATAACAATATATTTAATAACCACAAATATTTAACAACCACAGCTGTATATTTCGGATCGTTATCTTGTTGGAAGACCCATTCATTTTCCATGCCCAAACGTTGAATTAAAGTTGGCAAGTTATCTCGCATTATATTAAAATACTTTGGACGATCCATGATACCTTCAATAAATACTAAGTTTCCCGTTCCGGATGCAGTAATTGCACACCATTACATGTCTCCCGCTATGCTTAACAATTGGAATTAAATTTTTAGTATCTATCTCCATGTCTTTTTTTTTTTTTCTCCAAACTTTTCCTCTATCATCAGATCCGAAAATATTATACTTGCTTTCATCTGCAAATACAACTTTTTTCCAAAATTCAAAATCTTTATTAATATATTTTTTGGCAAATTCAAGTCGTTTCTGTTGATTTACTCTGAATATAAACGATTATCTTCTCGCTACTCTTCTAGAGTAAGGGTGAAAACCAGCTCTTCTCAGTATTCTTCTCGCAGTTTTTAAATGACAATTCTCGCCCGTGGTTCCCACAATGTGTTGCGTTAATTTTGGTGCACTAATTTTTGAATTATTTTGCACTTTACGAATTATAGTACGAACATGACGAGCATTTAATTTTATTGGACAGCCAAATCTAGGTTTACTATAATTTGTACCTCTCAAATTAAAATTTTTTTATTATTGATTGTATTATTGTTGTACGACTTATTTTAACCATATTAGCGTTTTCTCTATAAGATTTTCTTTCTTCTCGTAGTTGTACCACTAAGTTGCGAGTATCTAAAGGAATTTCCTTTCTTGTCAACATAGTGTATTATATATTATAACAAAGTGTGTACTTATAATCGAGATCGTTTTACACTCTAACTGAAGATATGAAGCCGAAAGTCTGTATTTATAATACAAAATATTATGTTTTTATAAGGTTGTTCAAGTGTATGAAGACTTCTGTGACTACTACTTTACGTTTTTTTAATTTATTTCGGAAATATATTGATGCAGATCATGTGTTAATATGCGAATATAAACAATTCTTTGAGAGTATATATTCTTAAATTTTTTTATTAAGTCAGATATAGCAAATTTTATGGATGTATGAAGACTTCCACGACAGACTGTATACCGATCACAAACCGCTTACATTTATATTTAAGCAAAATCTACAAAAATGCTCACCGCGGCAGTATCGCTATTTAGATTTTATTAGTCAGTATACCACAGACATTAGGCACATATATGGTGACGAGTACAAGATAGAGGACGCCATGTCATGGATGGAAGTCGTATCGTGTCCACCCGAACCCTCCGCTTTAGAGGAAGCTTCTAAAGCTTCTAAAATTTCAGTCATACGCGCTGCAA